TATGCCAGACTGAAGTCTCTGCTAAAGAAATGGCAGAAATGAAGGCGAGCCACCATGAATACGAAGCAAACGTCGCAAAGGAGGTTATCGCAAAAGGAGAAATATTCAACAACGAAGTCCTAGAAAGTTCCATCCGTGAACGACAACAATTGAAAGACGTTAACCTCGCTCTATCCGAAGCCAACGCACAGCTGAAAAGAGAGAATATGATGAGAGCTCCTATGTTCGGCGATGATGGTGCTGAAATTCAACAGAAGATCAGAGAACTGGAGAATGCACTATTGGAAAGCCAGAAGGAGACAAAGAATGTCATTATGGAAAATGCGAAATTAAAAGCAGAAGCACGAATGGCACCCATAGTCTCTCGGTACAGCAAGCGTCCTAGTTCCAGAGACCGCGGGTTACCAACCCACGCGTCCGAGGAAGATGAGATTCGGAACGCAAAAGAGGAGGCGAAGCACTACAAGGACGGGTACAATGAAATGACAGAGAGCCGAGATGAGATGTATGAATGGTATGCCGAAACCCACAATGAGTACGCCGAGGAAAGGGAGAAATCAATTGAGCTATCCGAGGCGAACAAATCATTGAGGGACAAGATTTCAGAAGCGGAAGCATCCTCTTCATCTCATCTTGCACCGGCAACCTCTACAATCATGAAAGTATCGAGGAAGGAAGAATCAAAGATAAACGTTCCGTCATGGCCCAGGATCAATGATCTTGGACTATGGAAGGCAAATCTCATTCAATCGATCATCATTGCGGCCAATGATTCAGATCAAGAGCCTTGGATCGACTGGATCAAAGAAGCCATGGACGACCCTGATCCGGACAAGTTTGTCGACTCAGGAGACCAAAGATTCCATTCAATTGATGCCAAACTCGGCCTAGCTCTTACCAAGGTCGTCATGGATGCGAAAGATGATGGTTCAGGTGTAGCTATGAAGTTGAGGACGAGGATCAATGCAAAAGGGAGAACATCAAGCCTCATAAAGGGAAGAGAGGTCCTAGCCCTGATCCTTATGAATTTCAAGACAACATCAAATGTGGAAGTCTTATATACTTCAATGCACCTCTACCAACTAGAATATCAAGGAGACAAGAACTTATCGTTGTTCTTCCACACTTGGGATGAGATTCTGGCAGGAATGAAGCCCGTTGACGTCCCGAGCGACGAAACTCTTCGGGATCTCCTATGGAGAAAGATTAGGAACTCAAACCTCATGGCATACGACATCAGCGCCTACAATAGCATGAACGACGAT